GGTATGTCCCCAACATGCAGGAGAGCCTGTAAAATAAGCTAGGTCAAACTACACAGCATCAAGAACAACGGGGTCCTGGTCAGGGACCGGGGCTCCTACCTATGGCAATGCAAGTAAATAACAGCGCCCTGATATTCTCTGGGCAAGGCTGGATGGATTTTAGCAGAAGTGCACCAACACCCCACCGAAATCCAGAGCAAATCCAGCCTCATTTGACTAAGGTCACAGGAAGCACTGAGAATGCTCTTAGAACAAGCTGCTAATTATATATCTCTTTTGAATGGTATTTTACATAACTTGGCTCTCTGGTGCACACTCTGAAGGGATAATCTCATTTAGCAGGTTAATTAGTGTCCTTGCTAGAAACAGTTGATGAGTGACAGTCCTATGCTGCTCAGCACAGACAATATTTAAAGGTATAACGCTGAGCGTCTGGATTGCAGGCAAAGGCAGAGACCTTCAGCCTTGACTCCACACAACCACGTGCCCGCAGGGTCTCCGCTAGCCCAAACCCAGCCTGCGTCTTGCCTGCTTAGATCATGACTTCTTTGGGGCAGGGATTTTGTATTGCTGTGTCTATCCTATAGCTGCCAGCACTACCACAGTAAATAGTGCAGTGGGTTGAAAATAGTCTATCATGATCTCTTATTTAGGGAACTGTATTTTTATCCTTAGCCTGAATAAGAAGGGAAACCAAACCATGAACAACCTTCTCTCTCACTGCCTTTGTAATTCTTTGGGAGAGAGCTCACTTCACTCCTGTGCCAAAGGTCCCACGTTACATGTTGAGTGTCTTCTTGCCCCCTCCATCTGACCTGGAACCTAAATTACAATTAGTTTTTAAATACAGCTCAAGATGACTTAACTGAGAGCAGGCTTCTTTGGCATACCTCGAAGGCCAAGTCGATGCGCTTTGAATCCGATCCAGGACACCTCCGTAAATTGTAATCAAATCTGTCGCATGCAATGTGACATTTGGGTTAGGAGATGATGGATCTTCAGAAATGCTTTGTTCTTTGGCTTCAATTTTCACTGATGCTTCCCGATCCCAGGCTGGACTGAAGACAGATGGGTTCCGCAGTACATACCCT